GTTTTGAGTAATCTCCAGTTTATGGAAGGTGAGAAGGTGGTGGCATTGTAGAAGTGTTACTGGACCATTAATCCTAATGCTCTGGACACATGAAAGTTAATGGAATTTAAATTCACTGAAAAAAAATCTCTGGAATACAAAGCTAGTCCAATAATACTGATCATTAATCTATCATGGATTGTTGTGAAATCCCATTGGGTTCACAGTTTCCGTTAGGGAAGCAAACTCCAGGTTCTGTTTAAATTTTCAACTGGGAGGTTTGACTCTGATTGGTCAGGACATTGCCCTGAGAAATTGACCAATGAAAATTTGTCACCAATGAACCCTACAACATAGGTGACAGCCATTTGCTGGTTCATTTCCCAGAGACTTCCCAGCCTGGTTGAAATTTTAAACAAAGTCTGGCAGTTAATTGTCAATCAGCATTAATTGGTGCATTCTCCATGACAATATTTCTACTAGTCAGAGTCCACTTGCCAACTAATTAGCACTGTCCTTCCATATCATATAAATGTTGGGATTTCCTCTCGAATTGGTATTCTCGCAAATAGTCTTGATGAGTGCAAAAGACCATAAGACATAGGAGCAGATGTGAGCCATCAAGCCCATTGAGTCTGCTTTACCATTCAATGAGATCATGGCTGATCTGATAATCCTTAACTCCTCTTTCAGCCTTATGCTCATAAACCTTGATTCCCTTAAAAATCTGTTTATCTCAGCCTTGAATATATTTAACATCCCAGCCTCAACAGCTCTCTATAGAAGAATTCCATATGTTGATTACCATCTGAGAGAAGAATTTCCTCCCTGTCTCCATCTCAAATGGGCATCACTACTCTGGGATTGTGCCCTCTGGTGCTAGACTCTCTTGCAAGTGGAAACAACCTTTCTGCATTTACCCTGTGAAACCTCCTAATAATTTTATATGTTTCAATAAGATGTCTTTTCATTTTTCTAAACTCCAATGAGTGCAGGCCCAACCTATTCAACCTCGCTTCATAAGAAAATCCCTCCATATGTGGACTCAACCTAGTGAACTTTCTCTGGACTGCCGCCAATACCAGTATATCTTACCTTAGATAAGGGGCCCAAAATTGTTCACAGTATTCTCGGTGTGCTGATTTGTACAGCTTTACCAAGACCCCACAATTTTTACACTATATTCCCTTTGAATTAACAGCCAACAGTCCATTTGCCTTCCCCATTACCTTCTGGATTTATATGCTAGCTTTTTGTGATTCATGCACAAGGACTTACGAATCGTTCCAAGTTGCAGCTTTCTGTAGTCTTTCTCTATTAACATAATTTTCAGCTCTTCTCGTTTTCATGCCAAAGTGCATAATGTCACATTTTCCCACATTATATTCCAATCAACAAGTTTTTGACAGCTCACTTAACCTGTCAGTAACCCTCTGTTCTATTTTTGTGCTATTTTGATGATAATATATTCACTTCTGTCATCTGAGTAAATGATATATACGGGAAACAATTGTAGTCCCAGCACTGATCCCTGTGGCACTCCATTAGTTACAAGTTGTCATCCTGAAAATGACCCCTTATCCTGACTCTCTGCCTTCTATTAATTAGCCAATCCTGTAGCCGTTCTATCTAACAGCAGGGGCTCTTATCTAATTAAATACTCTTGTGTGTGGTCTCTTATCAAATGCCCTTACAAAAAAAACTGTGACAAAATGATTTTTTTAACAGTATTCGCTTATTTATGAATACATTTAAGAAGCGAGTTGTTGGTCAAATAATAGGCAAATTTTACCACCATGACATATCACCTATGAAATGGCATGTGCTCAAAATTCTTTTTGTAGCTCATCAAGCAAACTAATTTTATTTGGACCATTAAAAATTTGACATTTTGTTTTGCATTTTCAATGCCATTGGACAATGATTGTACAGATTTACCAAGACCCTACAATTTGTATACTCTATTCCCTTTGAACTAACAGCCAACAGTCCATTTGCCTTCCCCATTACCTTCTGAATTTATATGCTAGCTTTTTTGTGATTCATGCACAAGGACTTCCAATAATTTGGTAAAGCAGCAAGTTACAAATACATTTTGAGACTCTCACTCTCATTCTACCTCTGAGACCCTCTTTAAAACCCAACTGTTGGAAACTTTTGATCACCTCCCCCATCTCATTCTTTAGCTCAGAATTCCATTTTTGATTACACCACAATGGTGTGTGTCTCTGTCAAGTGCTGTATGATGTAAATACAGTGCTTACTAAATGCAGAATATAATTTCAAAGATTACATGGAATACACAGCTCAGAAATGGGCCATTTGGTCCAACTGGCTTGCACAAGTGTTTATACACAACTCAAGCTTCCTTCTGTTCATTAAACTCTATCAGTGCAACCCCTTGCTCCCCTCTCTATCATGTACTCATCCAGTCTACTCTTGAAAGCATCAACATTATTTATCAGAACTACTTCCTGTAGTTCCATTTTCTCGCCGTTCACTACCAAAAAAAAATTTCTTCTAAATTCCCTGTCTCATTTCTTAGTGACTGTATTTTACTGCTGTCACCTAATTTTGGACTTGCCCAGATCTTACCCCATAATAACAGAACAAGGTCAGTTGCAGAAGTTTTAAGAAGTTTTGTGACTTTTTGTTCCAGAATGCCCAAATCATCTAAAACCTGGAAATGATCATTAACTTGAAGAATTACGAGTCAGAATAAACCAATTACTCATTGGAGCTGCTCTACCATTCAGACAGCAATTTCCATTTTTTCCCTATGTTCCATATCTCTTCCTGAAGTATGTATCATTCTTTCAGGCACCTCAATTAATTCAGTATTAATAGAAATTTGTTCCACATTATTTTGCATTAAACTTTAGGCAACCTCGTCCAGATTTTAAGAGAATTTTAATTGGGAGACGGTAGATTAGTGGTAATGTTACCAGAGTAGTAATCCAAAGGGCCAGCTAATGGTCTGGGGGTGAGTGTTCAAATTCCATCACAGGAATGGGAATTAAAATTCAATTGACTACAATATTCTGCAATTGAAAGCTTGTCTCATAAATTGAATCTATTGTCGATTTTTGTAAAAATCCATCTGGTTGACTCATGTCCTTTAAGGAACGTTATCAGCCATCAATGTGACTCCAAATCCACAGTAAAGTGGCTGACTCTTATTTGCTTTCAAGGACAATTAGGAATCACAACAAATACTGGCCTTGCATCACATCAATGAATAAAATGGATGTGTCCTTATCCTGGTTTCCCCATTAGAAGATAGATGCATTCCTTGTATTTGCTGTCAATTTCCTTTATTATTTAAACACCTCAATTGGAACACCCTTAACTTCCTCAACTCTGGGGAATGCAAGCTAAGTTAGGCCAGTCTCATGTAATATCTAAGTCAATTTATCCCAGATATCATCACCAGACTCCTCGCAAGGCAGGAATATCCTTCCAGGTGCTATACTCTGTTAGCTATAACAGGTTTTGGGAAGTTCAGTAGTTATGAACGGTGCTATATTAATGCAAGGTTTGTTTTAAATACGTAAACAGAAAATTGTAGAACTTGCAAAACTGCATGTATTATTCAACTGCTAGCTTGCAGCTTCCGGTGTGTTCTCACGAATGAAGTATGCTACTGTGTACCTTATTGCATTAAACTGAACGTCTTTGCTTCAGATATGGTTGTATAAACCTTTAACCCTTTCACCTGTGCAACATTGAGTCAAATGCAACTTGAACTGAAGGAATGGAATCTTTTTCTCTGTGCTGGTAGTTCTAACTGAAATAAGTTTGGAAGTGAATCTCAGAAAGATTATGGTACTATGATAAGGAAAGTGCCTTTCTAAAGTTGTGAGTCCAGACAAATTGGTACAAAACTTGGAAGTTTTGTAAACTGTGAGGAAGACTGTGAAGAACTCTGACATAGTTGGTGTAGCGGGCAAATAGATGGCAGATGAGTTTCAACGCAGAGAGGTGTAAGGTGATGCACCTTAGTTGGAGAACACTGAAAGACAATATAAAATAGGGGTCCAATTCTAAAAGAGGTGCAGAAGCAGATGGCAGGACAAGTGGAGAGAGCAGTAATCAAAGGATATGATATACTCAGCTTTATTAGTAGGAACGTAGAGTAAAAGAGCAAGAAGGTGATATTGGACTTAATTAAGACTTTTATAATTGTTAGACCTCAATTGGATTATTTTGTACATTTGTGGATGTCACATTACAGGAAAGATACAAATGCATTGGAGTGAGTGCAGAAGTGATTTACCACAATGGTGCCAGGGATTGGAAATTTCAGTTGTAAGGATAGATTGAAGAAGTTGGGATTTTATCCTTGGAGAGAAGAAAGCTAAGAGGAGATCTGATAAAGGTTTTCATAACCATGAGTGGGCTAGATAGAATGGAAAACAGAGAAACCGTTCCGGCTTGTAAAAGGAAGGAGAGCACATGGATGATAATATAATGTAGGGGTGGAGGTTAGATAGACCTTAGGTTTAGGGTAAAAGTTCGGCACAACATCGTGGGCCGAGGGGCCTGTACTGTGCGATACTGTTCTGTGTTCTATTTAAAGTAATTTTCAAAAGAAGCAAGAGTGATACATGGAAAATGTTTCCACTCAATAGGCACTGCCTGGTACAGTGTTGGAGACTGGTTTAAATGAGGCATTCAGAATGGTATGGGGCGATATTTGGATAAACATAATATGTGGAGAAAAAAGCAGGAGCTTGGCACTCGGTAATGATGCTTGTTTGAACATCCCATGCAGGCAGAATGGGCCAAATAGCCTTCTGATTCTGTGAACATGGATATTTACTCTACAAATGATCTGTATGGTAATGGTTACAAAAAAAAATTGCCTTTCAAAGAGTGAAATAAACCCCACAGTTTGGATCAATTGAATTGTAATAAGGTTACATAATACAATTAGATATCAAATAGTTTCTGGTGTCAAATGTAGTTGGGTTGTACTTATTTTAAAATTTCTCCTTAATATTTTCCTTCTTTCTCTTCAGATTATCAGAAATTGTGACAATGCTCAGTCAGCAAAACATCGAGGAGCATGTGAAGGCCCTGAAGTTGGAGATTGACTGTACAACTGAGGAAGATGATGATGTTAATTTTCCTATTATTTTCTACCAGATCCGGTAAAACAAAAGAGTACTGAGGCTTCCTTCCATGTACCTCTCACTCAGCTACTTGCACTTGTTTCCATCATTATTGGTCCAACTTAGATATTTGTAATACTATTGTTTTCTTTGCTCTCCTAAAATACTCTATGTAGTTAATGATCAACTGAAACACCACAGATATTGGTTCAAATTTCCAAAGTCACGTCTGGACATTTTACTCATCATTGAATAGTGACGCCTGAAGCAAAACATCTAGGCTGCACTGTTATTTCATTCCAGAATCTACTTTTGAATCTAACTCTGTCTCATGGTGAATATGTCCCCTGAATCTTTCTTCCGGTTCACAGTAAAGACCGTACTTGACATACATTGGGACATCCACAGTTCCATTCTGTCGTTGTCTCAATCACACGAGGCTGGCTCCTAATTCAGTAATGTGGCACTACATTGTCAGGCTCACTCAGAGCATTTTACATTGCCACCCATTGCCTACAGCCACCATACTAGTGTGAGAAATGCAAGTTCCATGTAGTAACGAAAGATATTCATCAACAGTGAATGGCTGGCAGCAGATAAATTTTATCCGGATCTGAGTCATGTTTAAAAGCACTTCAGAGCAGTGACCAATCATAACCATGAGCAAATCCTCAGATACCATTCACCAAATGAGCACAAGTGTCCCTGCAAATTAAAATACATTTAATATGAAAGGCCAATAAACATATTGACTAAAAATGCCAAACCAGCAGTTTAATAGGATGGTTTGAACTTGGAAATAGTAACCATATTAATTTTGGCAACACAATTAATGACAAGTAATGACAGAAAGAAAAAGTGATTACGCAGAGGAAAATGTCACCAAAGAAACCGTCCGCACTCTGGAAAGATTTGGATCTTGTGGTGATTGATTTCAGAATCACAAGCCTGTCAGAGACAAGACTGCCTCATTCTGAATGTTGCATGAGTGGGAAGACCTCATCATACATAATGTAACTGAAATTGTTAAACCTCCCAATGTTGTATTAAGTAACAATAAGAAAATTGGCAAAATATTAATTCAAGTTTAATTTTCACAATTTATTGAAGCAAACAGCTTCAGTTAAAAATGATACTTTGCTATGTTCTCTCCTGTAATACTTTACTCCTGTGTCCCCCACACTGTTTTGTTTTGTTTTGACTGCGAGAAATGGTTGAAGTTGCTCTCAAGCTACAGTTAATCTAGTCCTTGAGTTGATTGAGGATTAATTGGAGTTTCTCAATCTCTGCCAAGTCTCCTTGGGTGACAAGAGTCCAGCTATGGATGAAAAACATTTTGATTTTACCCTGGTAACTTTTCCTGTGGGTTTGTATTAAGAGCCTGAGCATCTGCTGCTGATTATTATAGTGATAGGGAGCGCACAATGCAGCCACAATAATCACAATGCTGAGAATAGCCTCTTTCATTTCTGGTCACCTTGTACCACATATTCAATTCATCACATTTTCCAAAGGGGAGGAACACTTAGTGAGGGCTGTATAATTTTAGAAATAACGTTTGAAATGTGATAGGCTTTTGAATAGGATCTGCTTTTAGGTAGGTCACCTAATGTACTTAACTCTTGCAATGCAGAACTAAAACAGAGCAATACAATGATTAATATGCTTCCTCGAGATTAAGTATATAGCTGGCTTCCACCCTTTTTGAACTCATCTCAATTTGCTTCTTGTTGTAGAGACCCCAGTTTGCAAAGAATAATTTTTATATTGACTAGGATTGTATATTCTGCAGCTTGCTTAATTATGGAAACACACTGGAAGGAAAAGAAAGCACGTTAAATTTCTTTTCCCCCTTCTGAAGGAACCATGCAGAAGTTAATCATCACCAACGCTATGAGAACTTTGGGTTAATTGAGCCAACTTTGTTTAGTAACAGATGCTAACTGTTTGTAAAGTGAGGGCCGATTCTGGTTGAGTTTGACTGTGATTCTGCTTTGAATCAAACTGAAGTGTAAAGCTGGACAGAGGGCACACACCAGAAAATGCTAATGAAGACAAATATCTTTAGTGTGCCATGGAAAGGATTACACACATTTATATAATTGTAGTGATTATCTGTACTGGAATTTGACAGCCAAATAAACAAATTTGTTGAGCAAAACCATTGAAGAATCATTTGTTTATTTTCAGGCACTGTATAAAATATAAAATGTATGTACACAAACTACATGGCTATAAACATTTTGGCTTATATCAAAAAGTGATACAAAAAAAGAGATTAATTATACACCTCATGTTGGAAGTGCAACAGTCAGTGTTCATTTTGTTTATTCTATACATAACTAATTGTGTCCTTGCAAATAATTGGTTTCCTACTTCTGCTTTTCATCAAAGCAATAAACTTATCAAAGTCTGTTGTTGATGCTTCATGCGTCTGGGGTAGGTTCGTGTGAGAACGATGCAGATAAGAGAGCTTTGGCATGTAATTACCCAAATTTGTCGGACAAGAGAGTCTCTTTGATTGCAAATGTGCATGGCTGTTGTCTCTGTTGCTTTGGTGCTTTGGATCTGTACTCTTTGACCTGTCAGATCTCGAGATGTTGGCCAGTTTACGCCTCACATTTCCAGAGATGTTCAGGATGAATTCATGAGGCTTCCCCAACCATCTGCCGGAGTGATCCTTTGCCTTTGGTTCCATCATCTCGTCAGTCTCCTCCGGAAGGTCCATCCAGTTTTCCACCAGATCTGCAAAACAATTATCTCCCAGTACTAGGGGCTGTCTATTCCTGCTTTGGGAGAGCAAATTGACTGTCCAGTCATTTGGATCTGTATAATCGAAAATCTTCCAGGAGCACTGTTCTGAATAAACATCAGAAGTAGATTTAGGTCTTATTTTTTTGTTTGGTCCTAAGCCGATTTTATTTCTCAAGATCCCAGCAGTGGGAAGTCTATTCTCCCTCAAACACGGTGAGCTTCCTACTCGTGCTGCTTTTGTCAACGTGGGCCCAGATGCTTCAGAATAGCCAGAGTCAAACTCTAAGCTTCTGTCACTGCTGGGTGATGCAAATACTGATGGACTGCCTTCCTCTTCACTTCTCGGAGATACAAGGCAACAAGCTGAGTCATATGTGTCCGATTCAGAGACATCGGAGGTAAAACTATGTGAGTTCCTTCCCTTGACAGGGGCCAAGGGTGCTGCCTCCTCCTCCTTCAGGCTCAGGGTGCTGATGTTGTGAATCTGCTTCAGGTCCTGCAATGCCTGCATCATGCATTGCATTTGATCTCGAAGACAAGCCCCTGCCTCCTTCATATTTATCTGGTCAAAGACAAAATCCAAGAAAACAATAAGCAATTCAATTTGATTATAGGTAATTATTTTTTCAATATACTTTAGGACTCTGATTTGCTGAAAAGTTATTTTACTCATTTCAATTTGAGCGAGTGAAATATGTGCCTACAAATGGAAATACTTGCATTAGTATCACTGTGTAAGCGGTCGGGTGTTCCTTATGTGGAAGTGTAAATGTATATGCCTGTACACATATAAATACACATGATTGTGTATAATGTATGTACCTTTCTCATATGGGTCCAAATCTGTGTACATGTCTACGTTATCATGTGGCTTCATGTTCTGTGCATAAGGTACAGTAGTAACAAAGAATTCCAAGTGTGAGTTCAGAATTATTTTCAACTAAAGATTTCAAGAATATGGAACTCGCTACCAAATTGTATGAATGTATTTTGAGGAACTTGACGAGTATGCGGAAGAAAAAGGGAATAGAAGATAAGATTTTGAGGAAAGTTGGAAGGAGGCCCTAGTGGAGCAGAGACAATGGAAAGGTCAAGCGGCCTATTTGTGCTGTATATCCCACATAATCATGCGCTTTACTATCTGTGCACAAAAGGTGATACAAGTTTGGAACTTCCCCACATAAAGGAGATGATGATAAATAATCATTTCAAATCTGAGATTGATAGAATTTTGCTCGACAATTGTATAAAAAGAAAAGGAGGCAAGGAAAGTTGACGAAGCCAAGATTCAGATAGGCCATCATTGCACTGAATAGGCTTGAGGGGCTGAATGGCCCACCCATGTTCCACTATATATCAGGGTCTGTTGATTGACCTGCTTCTCTCCCATACAATCAAAATGTCTTCCAATCCACTAAAATCCACAGTAATTCCATTACTGATTAATGGATACATGAATATCTATTTAGCCCCAATCCCATTATGTCCTGCAAAACACTTGACTTCTATTGTGTGAAGCCAGCTTTATTTATAATCTTTAAAGCATAGCCATAGCTTCAGCTGTATCAAGGGCAGGCATTGAGAGATCTAGAACGTATGTTGTTCCAATGACACTGCCCAAGATGGTTTTCATTTCTTCAGATTCTTGCAATACATGCTTCGAAATTAAATTGAGGTCTTCAGCAAATCCTGGAGGTTTATGTCACACACGCTGATTTACAATACAATACTGCCGATAAAGTAAATTAAAGCTTTTCTGGGTCGGTAGGTGCCCCGCATGCCTTATCTAAACCGTTCCCGACTTCAACGAAAGGAGGAGTTAACTTCCGGCAGAGTAACACTTGATTTAGTGTAAACTTTGGATGTCTTTTGCAGTTTGGGTCCACGAGGGAAATTGACACGAGGGAATTTAATTGCTGAAGGCTTAAAGTTGTCCACTGAGCTCCCTCTGGCGACCCAACCGATACATACATTTTGGTGTCGGAATGGACCATCAAGAGCTGCATCCCTGGTCAATAGTTAGTCTAATGTCTTCAGGACACGAGGCCACTTGGCCCATCACTCCTTCCTTGCGACTAGCTCACTGCACGCTCCACATCGCCCCCTGGCCCAATACCCCAAGCTGGGAATGGGAAAGGGAAAGTGAAAGATGCAACGGGTGGAAATGAGAACCTCTTTCTCCTTCCCTCCCACCATAACTTTACGTTTGAGCCTGAAACCTGGGATCTTGCTGTTCTTTCTCCAACCAGCCCTCGAGTGTGGTTGCGCTGAAGGTTGTCGTTGGACAGTCCCTAGGAATGTCTGGGGCTGACGGCAAAGCTCTGAGGAGAACTCAAAGAGGCCCCTTTAACCAGGAGAGCTGGGCTCCCTGTGGAGAAGGCAGCACCTTCGCTGTTTCTGATGAGTTAGAGACGAGTAAAAAGGTCAGATTCTCTCAAACATTCCATTCCAGCAGTACAGGCGCTGCGGGCAGGTACTAACACGTTAACTGTGCTTCATGCAGTGCACCTGGACATACTACAGCTCACCTGGCCTACTGCACACTGCATTTCACAAAGGATTCCGCATTCTCTTCCCAAACTGCTCCCCCTCCCCCCGATGAAGGTTTTGGTGCAGGGTTGGGGCGGGGGGTGCGGTCAGTTCTCAACTAGCTGAATGGTGTATCGCTTGAGTTAATGTTGTCCACAGCATCTGCCTCTATTATCCCACCCAAACCCAACCCACACTGCTAATTATATTGAACCCTGTGCTCCTTTTATCGTGAAAGACTGGAATTACTAAATCAAAACCACAGCCACAGCCAGAAACTCAACCGGACACCCCCATAATCTTAGATCATAAAACCTAACAGAAGGTTTAAAAAATATATCGTTTCAAGTTAAGAAACTTGACTCGTTTCTGAGCACCAAAAACTGTAAAATATGTAAAAATTTCTAATAACGTACAGTATAGAGAATTCAAAGACTGTCCTATGTGTCATTTAAAGAATTATTTAGGGTTCCAAAAGCTACTGGATTTTTAGGTGCAGTGATCCAATCCCTATCAATCTATTTTTTAAAAAATTTGAAATAACTGCTAGCATTCGGGGAGTTTTTCTTAAACAAAAAAAAAAGCACAGTCGACACAAATCGCCGCTGAAACTTTTCCAATGAACCCTCTGTTTAACTCACCATTTCTTTGCGAAGATGACAAATGAAATCATCCAGTTTTGCGTCCTGCATCACCAAGCTCTGTACTGCAGCCTCCCCTCCAGCACTGTCCTGTCAACAATCTCCGTCTCTACATTAGAAATCGCTGCTGCTTTTTCACTCGCTTTAAATCTTGACCCCTCTCTTTCTCTTTCTCTTTTTCTTTTTCTTTTTTTTTTAAAGTCCCTCTTAATTTTTTTTTCTCTGTCTTGTTGCAGATTTCAGACACACTGGCATACTCATATGACTATTTCATATATAGTTTTCCTCCGCAAGCTCCTCCCCATTCCCCTGCTCCCCTATTTAAAAATCAACCAATCAAGACTCGGGTCCCTCCCTCGGGAAGCAAGCGCCGGGCCAATCGCCTCGCTCTGTAATCTTAAACCAGAATGTTTAACAGAGATTTACAATGTGGAAAAATTGGGACTCCGCCAAGTGTCAGAGGGGGCCCGTCAAAAAATCTCCTATATATGTTGCACCAAATATTTTGACTTAGTAAACAGTGCTGTGAACTTTCCTTTTAAAAAAAATAAAATTGGAACGTTTGAAATTCATAAAGTTCCCAAGAATCTGCTGCAACTTTCTTTTTTTAGTTCTTGCGTTTTTAACATTTGGGAGTCTGGTTTTCATCAACGGGACAAATCTGCGTAAGAAATTGTGCACAGGCCCGGTGTAGGGGGTGGTATCCCTATAATCAATCTGCTTCATTAGTCTGAGGGCTTTTACACAGAAACAGAAATTGCTGGAAAAGTTCAGCAGGTCTGGCAGCCACTATGGAGAGAAATCAGACTTAACGTTCCAGGTCACTTGTTTTTTTTTAGCTTTGGCTTGTATACAGAATCTGGGTGAAGTCCCAACTCCCCAGCTTGAAAGCCCCAGGAATGGTGTCACACACACATACATACTGGGAAGCAAAACTTCTTAAACTATTTTGCAATCGTTGTTTTAATTAGAGGAATATAGTTAGAGAAATATATAGTTTGAGTTGCAGTGGTGAGGACTGTAATCTATATTAGAAATTGTTGTAGAAACTCAGCAGATCTCGAAGGGTCTGTGGAAAGAGCTGCCAAACCTGGTGAGTTTCTCCAGCATTCTCTCTGTGTTTATTTCAGATTTCCAGCATTTGCAGTAATTTGCCTTTTAATAATTCGTATCAGCCCTGTCTCAGATGCAACACACTCATTGTTCAGTCACAAACAAGAACAGAAATTGCTGGTAA